TGATGGGTCTGTAAGGAGGTGGTGGGTCTGTAAGTGGGTGGTGGGTCTGTAAGGGGGTGACGGGTGAGAGACCGAGGACCTGCTTGTACATCTCTAGGGGTGACGTGCGTGCGGCTAGGCAGTGTGGCCTTGATGTCCTCCTGGGCTCACTTTTAAATTAAAGAAACTCTCAAGTTGAGAATTCAGAACTTGGCCTTATTCTAGACAGGGCCCATGGCCAGGTGGGATGTAGAGGCCCCAGGAGAGTCACAGGTGGTGGCCCTGTTCCTCTAGAGGCCATGCAGCCTGTGGACACCTGCTTTGACCCAAACCCTTCCCTGCATGCCTTTCCCTGATGGGGTCTGGAGGTCCTCAGCCTGCGGCTTGTCCTGTGCGCTGTCCCTCATAGCTGGGGTCCCCAGCTGGCCATGGTGGGCAGGGTGCCATTTGGGGGGAGTGAGGACACAGGGAGTCCTGACCCTCTCTTCTCCCTCAAGTCCAGGTTGACTTGTGACCTTTGTACTGGGCTTCACGCCATGTGGGCCCCAGATTCACACAGTGTAGACTTCACACCGCACGGTCCTGGGTTTCACACCACATGGGCCCCAGCTTCATGCAGTGTGGACCCCGGCTTCTCCGTGATGATGAGTTGAGCTGACCCTCCTTGTAAATTCAGAAAGCCATGTAACATAGCGTCGGAAACGGCGTGGGGGTCTGTGACGTCAGGGCACTGCTTGGACACACGCAGGCTGTCGGACAAAATGAGGCCAAGGTGGCTTTGGTGGACGAGGGTGGACGGCACTGAGCCCCTGGGAGCCTGAGAAGGGCTGGGCATGTGCTTCAGCAAGGTCATTGTCCAGTGCTGCAGAGAAGGCTGGACACACGGGGTGCTGCGCCCAGCTGGGGAGACCCGCACCCCCCCACACCATCCTCACGGTCGCCGATGGGCTTCAGTCCATTGGTCCGGTCATGTGTTGGTCCATCTCCTTGCGACTCTCCCTGTCTGTTGCCAACCTTCCCCTCCACCCAGCGGTCCTTGACCAGGAGGCCCAAAGTGCCCTGCATAGTCTGACCCCCTTGGCTTCAGGGAACAGGCCGATCATGCTTCCTCCAAGACAGTTGTGTGTCCTTCTGTCCATCCGTGGTGTAGTCAGCACTTTCCACCCGCACCACAGTTCAGGGCACCACCTGTGGTGCATCGGGGGCTTCCCTGAGTGGAGGTGCCATCTACCTCTGCCTGAGTCTCAAGGTCAATGTATGTCAGGTGTCCTGGGCGAGTCATGTGACAGCATAGGCTCCTGCTGTCCCCTCAGCCTCTCCTGCCCCTCATCCCTCCTGTCCCTCAGCCTTCTGGTCCCCTCAGCCCCTCTGTCCTTCAGCCCTCCTGTCCCTCACCTCTCCTGTCTGCCTTCACAGCGGTTCGTCTTCTCAGTGCTGGAGAATGACCCTCTGTTCACTCAGCTCCGCGAGGCTGACCTGCCCCTGGATGAGTACCGCAAGCTCACTTTCCTGCGTTTCAAGCGCATCTTCGAGTACGGCTTCTTTGACCTACAGGACATGGTGCAGAGACCGCACAAAATCTGGACGCTCATCAACTGCCTGGGCATGTATGACTGGTCTCTGTGCAACAAGCTCTGCCTGCACTCGCTGGTGAGTGGGCGGCGCCGGTGAGGGGGGGAGGGCGCTGGTGAGGGGGGGCACTGGTGAGTGGGCAGCGCCGGTGAGGGAGGGAGGGCGTTGGTGAGGGGGGCGCCGGTGTCGGGGGAGGGGGTGGGCGCTGGTGAGTGGGGGGCACCGGTGTCGGCGGGGGGGGCACCCGTGAGTGGGGGCCGCCGGTGAGTGGGGGGCACCAGTGAGTGGGCAGCACTGGCCAGGAGCGCACAGAGATGGAGGAGCTGTGCGTGGGCAGTGCGCCTGGGGTGTAGCCAGGGAGGAGGACGCAGTCCAAGGCCTTCCTGCACGCTGTGGTGTGTAGATGGCCAAGGCCGGGGTGCAGACAGGGAGGGCGTGTGCCTCCTCCCCACGCTGGCAGTGGGTGCTGTGGCCCAGGGCACACGGACACATCCACGTCCTGCCTTCCATGCAGTGCTGTCCTGGGCCCCTCAGTGCTGGCTCCCGTGAACCACAGCCACTGGCCTTGGTGCTTGCTGCCCACACTCACTGGCTTTTACACTTCTGTGGGCAACCTAGTGTGGTGCTGCTGGGGTGTCGCTGCCACATGTGGGGGACCTCCAACTTGGAGGCTGATGGTCCACGTCAAGATCGGGATTTTGTATCTCTCTGGGGCCTCTCTGGGTGCAGTCTGTTTTCTGTGTATGTGAGTGTAAATGCATGTGTGTGTGTGTGTGCTCACGTCTGTGTATGTGAGCTTGTGTCTGTATGTGCACATGTGTGCACCTGTGTGTATGGTGAGTTTGGGCGCATGTCTCTGTGTGTGAACTTGTGTCTGTGGTTATACACATGTGCACCCGTGTTTGTGTGTGTTCATGCACATCTGTGTGTGAACGTGTGTACATGTGTGCACCTGTGTGTGTCCTCTCCCTCCTCCCC